GTCTGCATGTTCTCCTGTGTCTGTGGGTTCTCTCCGGGTTCTCCGGCTTCCTCCCACCGTCCAAAAACCTGCATGTTAGGTTGTTGGACTCCAAACTGCCCTTAGTGTGAGTGTGTGTGGTTGTTGGTCCTTGTGTGTCTCTGTGTGTCCCTGTGATGGACTGGGGACCGCCTCTCCCCATTGGCTACTGGGATAGGTTCCAGTCCCCCCCAAGACCCCATTAGGAAATAAGAGGTTACCATAATGGATGGATGGCTATAACAAGATCTATGTAAATTACTGATTGTTTTATTTTCTTTTATAACTATATTTTGTGTTAAAGTCTCTGGCTGTGACCACAGACTCTCTTTCCTCTCTTTTTCTTTCTCTGTTGCATTAGATCCACCTTTAGGTCAACACACACAAACACACCATTTGTTACCACATTCCTGTCATCTGCATGAATTAGGACCTGGCCTGTTCCTGCCCAGAGGTAACTGGCCAATAGGACTTGGTTGTGTCCAGTCCTCCTTTGAGGAGGCGGATGGAGCCCAGGAGATAATGCCCATCACCCAGATCTCAGGGCTCTTTGCCCACTGAGACCCAGAGAGAGGTTTTTGTCTGTGATATACTTCTCCTGTGCCTTATTCTCCGGTTTCCAACTAAAGAATCGGGCTAAAACATGCTATTCGGGGACGCCGGGGGAAGATAATGAAGCAATAATCAGCGGAACGAGAAGCACTCTGCAACGTAAGTGCTGTTAAAGCGGAAAATAAAAAAGCCAGAAGCCGGTCGATAACATCTCTGGGATTATCTCCTGTAGAGCGAAGCATCAGCCAACAGGACAGAACCGGAGCCCTGAAGGACCAAAGACTCTCAGGGCCCCAGGAAGCAAACCAGGAGGTCGCTGGTTCAAAGCCCAGATTCTCCAAATGTTTCCTACGTTCCTAGTAAAAAGGGTCTGGAATCCAGAAGATCTACGGCTCTCTTTTGACAGATAGGTCTCAGAGGGTTCCCTTTCTGTGTCGTAAAGTCCCGTTTCTGGGTTTTGTGGATATGAGAAGACGTTTATCCGCAATCGGGCCGATTCAAAGAGTGTGAAAAGAGACGGATTGAAGAGTTAACGCGTGAACAGAAGCTTCTGGGAGCCGTAAATACGCCGGGAGACAAGACATCTGAACCTACCCGGGCCACCTAATCTGATGGGGGGGGGGGGGGGGGCTTTCATTCTGTGCAGAACGAAACAGGAGAGAGCACACAAAGCGACCGGAAACACAACGACAAACCAGACAAATACAGATAAGGGGAGAATTTAAAAAAATAGGAATTTCAGTGGAGAGTTTGGGAGGAAAAATCCATCCGTATGAAATCACCGGCTGAAAATAAGCGTCCCATTTAGTGGACACAGCTCCAGCCTGAATGGCTCAATTGTAATGCATATTAGCATGTATCAGTGGAGGGGTGTTTGGAG